TGTTTACTAGTATAGGGGTAATGAATACAGGTAACATTTGTTTAGAAAAGTGTGATATATTATCATCATCTCAGATAGCACTTCTGTTGAAAAATGTTATCTTATCAATATTACAGATAACGCTTAATATAAAAAAGTGTTATGTGAAAGTTCTTTACATAACACTCAATATAAAAAAGTGTTATGAGAAAGGTTCTTCACATAACGCTTAATATAAAAAAGCGTTATGTGAATGGTACTTCACATAACGCTTTATAAGCGTTATCTGAAGAGGTCGTCTTCAGATAACACTGATACCGATAACGCTTAAAAGCGTTATCTGAAGCGAAAAAAAAGCGCTATCTGAAGCATTTTTTGGCGTAGTGACTTTTGCGAGTTTTTGAATTAGTTGCTCGCAGGACGTTTCGATCTAATGCCGGAAACTCTATGTCATGGCTTAACCGTCGAGAATCATCTCCCGAATCAAAAGTCTCCGTGTTGGGCGTGTTGAGAGCGTTATCGGCCATATAATTTTTTTTTTCTTTTTTTTTTTTGGTATCATATATTGTTTGTTCCGTGCATGGGGTGAAATACTAGTTTGTGATTGAAATACCATTATAGCAAACCAAAAATAATGATAGACCAATATTGCAAATACTTTTTCTGTAAAATAAAATAAACCAAAGTATTGGACGAATTAATTTAAAATATTTTTTCCACTTTTGACGTAGGCGATTGAGAATAAATATATATAAACTCCTAATCTCTCAATCAACCGGATTCTAAAACAGACTTTCATTTAAAATCATATAATATAGTCACGAATTAGGTTAGGCTTAGGAGAAACAGACGTTTAATTCCCTTGAAACGTAAACATGCCGCCGTGTTGAGTACAAACAGAAATAACTATATATGTTGGTGATTTTCACCAATGATCTTTGAGTTGGCAAACATTTTGGTGCATGCATCATACAAATACAAATGTTCATTGTTCTAATTGCCACAGACATGATATATATTGCATAACTAAAAATTCCGAAGCCACGGTGGCATGTCGGTCACCGGGCCGTTGGGCTGCTCTTGGGGCCCACCGCTCGGCCCGAAGTTCAACATACTGTTATTTGCTGCATGGGAAGTTTCTCCTGCTATTTCATCTTTCTCCCTTAATTTGAGCTGCAATTAATTAAGTTTTTTTATTATATTTTTGCATAAGCATTATATATTATACATATATATATAATGTTGATGTAATGGTTATGAAGAATGATTTATTTATCACCTTCTTAGCTAACAAATTGTTCTGCTCCTGCAGTGATTTCTCCTGTTCAAACAAATTAATAACAATATGAATTATGGGCCAAAGTGTTTGCCAATGTAAAATATATATATATACCAATGTTCTATAAGTCGCTAGGCGCTCGACCAGCGCCTAGCGCCTAGAGCGGCTAGGCGTGGCATAGTCGGCATTTAGGGGGCCTAGAAATCAAGATTAAATATATTATTTTTTTATTTATTTTCACTATCTACAAAATAAAACTATCTCAACTTATAATAAATCAACACATTTAAATTCAAATAATAATATTAGTATATTATAATGAAAACATGATATAAAAATAATGCAATTCGTATTTAAGATAATTAAAAAGAACATCGAAAATTTTACGCCGAGCACGCCTAGGCGCCGCATAGCCGTCTGACCGATTTTTTTAGCCGATTTATGCAAATCGGAGGCGGCCGGACACCGACTAACGCCTAGGCCAACTTTTAGAACATATATCACTACAAGAAAACACTTCAATTCCAACAAAATATTCCAACGGCAAAAATTTCCGTTGGAAATTCCAATGAATATTCCAACAAACTTAATTTTATGTTGGAAAAAGTGTTGGATGGTTGAGGAATTCCAACGGATTTTTTCCGTTGGAATAGCTGTAGGAATTTATTTCCATAGGATTTTCCGTTGGATTTTAGCTATTCCAACGGCCGTTTTTCCTACGAATTTTTATACGTAGGAATCTCCGTTGGAATACCTATTCCAACGGATATATAAAGAATTCCATCGGAAATTTTCCGTTGGAATGTAAGATGTTTTTTTGTAGTGTATATATATATATATATATATATATATATATATATATATATATATAGTAACTGATTTTATAGTGTGATTGATACCTTTTTCTGGAGCTGAGAAATTGCCTCCACCATAAGTTGATTCTGCACACAATTTTGTAGTTAAAAGAAAGGATTGCACTATATAATTTGATACTTTTTATCAGTAATGATGATCAATATGCTCAAAATGTTGTTTGAAAAAATATGTTCAAGCAGCTTAATATATTAAAAAGTTATTAATACCTTCCTCGTCCGGATTCGCCTCAAGGCTGTGTCGAGCTGGTGTTGCAAACTCTGAAGCTCTCTCAAGCTAAGAGGAATCAAATCTTCTCCCTCATAATTCCTACAAAACTCCTCATTTTTATCCAAAATTCACTAAATTGTTGCTAATTAATTTGTTCAAAAAATGTATTTCTCAAAATAAATTACACTTTTCAATATTAAAGTAAGATGAACCATATATACTTGTGTGAAATGAACAAATTCAATGCGAAACAACTCTTACCTTATGGTTCTTTCTAAAACTTCAATGCGAGACGAGAGCTTCCGGTTGTCGACACACCAATTATCCTAAAGAAATCACCATATATACTCAACATCTTTTTATGCATGGAGGATATGAATAAAGTGTTCTTCGTACCAAACGTATCCTATTATTATTTCGTTATACGTGCTTCTTCATAAAACAAAAAATGACAAATGCCAAAACATATGCACAACTCTTACATTTGCTGAGGTAAATTTTGGCAAATGAGGTAAAATTTACTGAATATTTGACCAATTTTGGTAGGTACCTTGGGCTGCAGAGATTCCGTTGTAAGATTGTTCTCTTCGTACGAATATCTTTCATACTTTTCGATAATTTGTTCCATGCTACAACATAAACAAGCTCAAACTCTTAGATATATAACATCAGCATGGTAATACACATGACATTTGAAAATAAAGAAAATAACCTTTCTGCCTTGCTACAAAATAAAACTCAAACTCTACTTAGCAAATTAACATCCTCATTATCATGCCATTTGAAAACTAGAGAAAATAATCAAAATTTAGTTCATAGACTCAATTAGGATGTAACCATTTAAGAAAAAAAAAAATGATGGAATAATGAAATATAAATAATTTCATTTTCTACTTTCATTCTGAATTCACTAGTTCACAATGTTATATGTGAGGCAGCAACTTAAAGTTAGTAATCAAGTAACCCATATTTTGAGCACACCAAATAAATGAGATGAGCATGCATAATGGTTGATATATTATCATTCTCTCTCACTGATATATTTGCAGACCTCTCTTTTACTACTATATTTGGTAGACAAATAAGCTAGGTTATAGCTTATTTGATTAGCTTATAAGCTCCATGTATTCAAATAAGGTCCGTTTGACAGGACGAACTTTTTCAAGAAACTCGAGCTTATTTGATAAGCTTCTTTGGGTAGATTTTCAAATAAGTTCGTTGAAATTTTTATTTCAACTAGCTTATAAACTAAAATTATCAAACGCTTTTATCATATAAGCTAGTTTTTCAACTATAAATCATAAATTATAAGCTATAAGTTCGAAAATTACTGATAAGCTATAAGCTAAGTTTATCAGCTATCAGCTAGTTTTACCAAACATAATCTATATATCTCTAAAATTGGAATCCTACATATTTAACTTAGGAAAATATATATGTGAACAAATTGTGTGAAGAATATACAAGTGCATAGGAATATATCCTAAAACTGTACAAGGTAATTAATTCACTTAGGTTCCCAATTCCCAAAACCAGACTATAGGGACTCACATATTCATTTAGAGCATCCACAATGCATTGGGTTCAATTTTATATATGTGGCATATAAATAGACTTAAGTCCTTAGAGCACCCACAATGCTTTGGGTCTCTCACAAAAATATCATATGCCATGTATGAAAGAGACTTAGTCTATTAAAAAATGTTTTCCGATTCAATTAAAAGTAGACTAGGTCTAACTTATGCTGCAATCAAAAAATGAGACCAAGTCTAGACTTGGGTCTATTTTGGACCCAAGTACAAACCTAAACAATTAGCATTTATTCCTAATTTAATTTTTCTCTTAATATAGAAAATATTTTAGAGCATTTTTATTGGTTGACAAATATTATAGACCTAATATTTTGTTTTTGCACTGGATGATTTTTGGATTTTTTTACTTGTGTTTGTCCATGTCATTAAGGATTTAAGTCTATTTATATGCCACATATATAAAATTGAACCCAATGCATTGTGGATGTTCTTAATGACATGGACAAACACAAGTAAAAAAATCCAAAAATCATCCAGTGCAAAAACAAAATATCAGGTCTATAATATTTGTCAACCAATAAAAATGCTCTAAAATATTTTCTATATTAAGAGAAAAATTAAATTAGGAATAAATGCTAATTGTTTAGGTTTGTACTTGGGTCCAAAATAGACCCAAGTCTAGACTTGGTCTCATTTTTTGATTGCAGCATAAGTTAGACCTAGTCTACTTTTAATTGCATCGGAAAACATTTTTTAATAGACTAAGTCTCTTTCATACATGGCATATGATATTTTTGTGAGAGACCCAAAGCATTGTGGGTGCTCTTAGGTTGAAGGTTTTGAATTTGAAGTCGGTTGTTGAGACGTGATTTAAATAACATATATTTTTTTATTTGTGTTTTCAATTTGGTATATGTTCTCTTGCTGAAATCAAGGGCAAATTGAGCATTACAAGAAAAATTGTACTCATTAAAAAACATGTAATATATATCTAATACCAATATATTAAAAAATAAATAATCAAATTTTTGTTGTTTGTTGTGTACATTATTTATATTTTTTACTTATCTAATCAATAATAAAAAATTTAAAATGAAAATACAGTTGTTCTTATTATTTTTTAAATTGTAACTATACCGAATCAGTATAGCTACCCTTCTTCTGACACAGCAACGCAATTGGAATCAATGTCGAAAGGGAGTGCTAACGAATTTCTTTCTAGATTTAATAAAAAAATAAAAAAATTACCAACATTAAGCAACATTGTCGGTTGTATCAATTATTGAGCTATTATTTAGAGAGATTTCATGTACACACTATAAATTAATGATAAAAATATATATAATTATATACTATACATATAATATAAATAAAAAATTGTATATTAATTATAACGGTTCGACCAATTGTTCGACTAGCGAACCGTTGAACTAATACCTTCGGTCGATGACCAGCTCGGTTTTAAGAACAATGGGAAAAACAAACAATTTAAAAATAAAAGTAAAAAAGACAATAACCACTTGGTGATAATACAAGTTGAGATTGTACTATCCTGTGTGGCTAATGTGTCTAAAATTACTGAGAAAGCTAAAATAATATATATATATTTTTTTTTCTATATAGATTAAAAAAAAAACCCACTACTAATTAAGTATGTCATTATATTGAGTCTATAATCCATCATTGACTTTGAAACGGTTTTGGACGAATTAATTTAAAACTAAAAGAATTGGAATGCAGATTAATATCCTTCTACTGTAATTTAGACAAAATCAAACACACAAACACATATACCCTACAACACAGTCGTCGGGCAACAGAGATATTGTGATCAAAGTATAGGAAAATGCTACGGTTCCGTTACGGAATCATTCCGTCGGGGTTTTTAACCGTTAGATCAACTTATCCTTGACGATTACATGATAATATAATGGTTACAAATCGCAGCATCTCCCCTAAGTATATATAATACAAAAAAACTTTTGAATTTATTCAGTAAAATGAAGCACCGACTGCATATACATACACTCTATATGTTTATATGTATGTATTTCTACTTTGATGAAACTGCTCAAAAAAATAAAATAAAATAAAACTGATAATAATTCGGTATATGTGATTATAATAATATTATGTGTGCTATAATCATAGCAATTTGGATTGCAAAAAAAAAAAAAA